TCCTTCCTTCCTTCCTTCCATCCTTTGTTTCTTCTAGCTGTGGCTGCTTCTTCAGCCCTCACTCATTACTATATACAATTTGGAAATCAAAGTAGTAAAAATAACTTTCTCTAACAATAATTCTGTGTCCAGTGAACTTTCTAATGGTTTTCCCTGTGCACTGAACATTAAATTGTACATAAACATGTGGACTGATTTTACTTAGCCAATTTTTAAAAAGCCAGGGAGAGGACAAAGATGGGCACCATGTCTCCAGCCTGCCAGGCAGGCGCCTGAGTGTCGTGACTGTGCCTGACTGTCTACAAGTGGCCAAGAATCAAAACAGAGTGTCCCCAGCTTCGTTTCCTAGGGTAGTTCAGTACTGTGAGTCCCTCCTGTAGCAACCTAACACTTTCCAAAAATTAAGGCCACGCTGGTCATGTGAGCCTGCCCCAGTCTCTATGGCCAGGGCGGGCAGGCAGCAGGGAGGTGGGCATGGTCTGCGCTGGTGAGCGTGAGGGTCACCACAGCAGGCATGAGGTGGGCTCTGGAGGGTCTGTGCAGACAGCATGGCAGGGGCCTTGGGCTCACATGGATATGGGACATCCAGGCGCCTCTGAGTGTCTGAGTTCTTTCTTTGTGTTTTCCAACCAAGGGTGGGCTTTACAGAGCAGATATTTGCCAGACACACCTACTGGGATTTTAACCATTCAGAAAGCAATGCCCGCTCTGTGCCTACTTCCAATCCTTGGTCTGTGCAACAACTGCAACTATCTAGTTAAATACTGGATATGAAACAGGCCCGCTGGGCAACAGCACAGGGCACGTGGGCCTACTCAAAAATTCTATCTGGGGGCACCTGGGTGGCTCAGTCAGTTAAGCGTCCGACTTTGGCTAGGATCATGATCTCACAGTTTGTGGGTTCGAGCCCCACGTCGGGCTCTGTGCTGACGGCCAGCTCGGAGCCTGGAGCCTGCTTCAGATTCTGTGTCTCCCTCTCTCTCTGACCCTCCCCTGCTCATGCTGTCTCTCTCTCTTAAAAATAAATAAGACATTAAAAAAGAAAATCTATCTGGCGATCCATGCCTTGGGGGCTGCCCCACTGTGTGCTGATGGAAAGCTGGCATGCTTTTTTTTTTGGTTTTGGGGTTCCTTGAGACACCATTCAAAGAGGACCTAATGTCTGAGAGCCTCTGAAATTGCTCTGGGTGACCTGGGATCAAGTTCCATGATTCAGACAGAAGTGTATCTACATGTACCTGGACCTGCATTTTGGGAGGGGACAGGGAGGCCACAAACGTTTCCCACACATTAGAGCCTTTGTTGAATAGGCCAAACCCAAGCACCATCGGAGTTCTTGGTAACGCTGACCTCGGTCTTTCAGGAAGAGGTAAATGTGCTCTTCTGGGGGCTGTGAAACCTGATTTACCTTACAGCAAAGTGCAAGGAAAACTCGAGACAGCTGTACAGAGAATAAATGGGAGCTTCCAGAACCTCAGCTGATGACATACAGTATGGGGAGAAAACAAACATTGTTAAGAAAATAAATAGCACCGCGCACAGCTGTTCGGCAGAACTGTTAGGGAAAGAGTGGCTGGGCAGGAAGGCAGCGTTTGGGAAGGCTGTAATAATATTTCCCATTTTATAGCTTCATCTGCCTTTGCTGTCCTATCAGCGGGGCACTGAAGCCAACTCAAGACTCTCCTTGGAAATGGACAGGTAACGTTCTGACAAGCACCGCCAAGACTCGTCCGAGCGGGGGCGCCTGGGCTGTGCTGGGTCTGCCGACCCCCAGGCCGGGCCGGGCTCGTCACACAGCTCTCCGGCCTCCTCCTCCTCTCCCTCCTCCCCTCGTGGGACGCTTACTGGTCCCCCCGTGTGGCCCCAGGGGCCTTGCATGTGCTGTTGGCATTTGCTCAGTGACCGACGAGGACAATCCGTTGTGCAGCAGCTCTGACTCCAAGAGTGTCCCCCTCCGGCCCCCTGCCTGCACTGGGCCCTGCCTGAGCCTGACGTCTGCTTTCCACCAGAGTCCAGTTGCCAAGCAAGCTGTGCTTGCCTTGCGTTTTAGATCCAGCTTCAAAGTGGCACTTTCTTTCTGGCCAAATGTCCCTGCCCCTTTCTGAAGTCCCTTTTCCCGCGCCTGGTCTCAGGCTTCCCCATCCTTCAGGAAGCCAGGCCGTGATCTGAGGCATGGGAGAGCGACCTGTTTACACTGGCGACGCATTTAGAGTGGCCTCACTCGCCACGGCACATCCCCAGGGCAGACTCTGCCGGGTTCTAACTCAGGGGCGGGCGAACTACAGCCCTTGGTCTATATCAAACAGTCACAGGGAGCTAAGAATGATTTTTACATTTTTATCAGTGGTTGATAGCAATCCGAAGAAGAGTATTTCAGGACATGTGAAAATCACAAGGAATTCACATTTTAGTGTGCACAAAGAAAGCTCGGTCATCTAGGGATGGTCCACAGCTGCTCTCATGCTCCCATGGCTAAGCTGTGCAGTTGTGACAGATGCACGATCGCCCGCAGAGCCTAAACTGCGGACTGTCTGACCCTTTTACAGAAAGTTTGCCCTCTCCTGGTCTAAGGAGAGCTTCCCCCCAACGCTCCAGTAATAATTTCCACTTGGGAACCTACCAAGAGCTGCTCAATGCACCCTGTGACCTGGAGGGGACACACAAGGAAGTGTCCATGTCACCGCCTGTGGGGCCAGTGCCCCTGCAGCAGCCACACGCTCTGTTTGCTGCCCCCACCCCTCCCACCACGCCCTATTAGTCATGGGTGTCTACCTCACCTATGAGCTGCATCTCTGCAGCTCTGGTGCGTTAACATCCACCCCCAGCACCCAGCAGAGATAGTCAGAGCCTCTGACATGAGAAGTAACCCATGTACTTCCCACACCAGAGAATGAGAAGTACGAGTTATAACCTCTTCCTGTGGCTACTTTTTTAAAACACCCTATTTGGCTGGGGGGCAGATGAGTGATTTTTCAAATGGGGAACATGCAATGTGTGCTCTATGTTTCTGCTTCACGTTGGGAGAATAACACAGCCGTAATATTTGATGGTGGCACAACTTATTTCCGTTGAACAGGGAGTACAAAAGTACTATTCCTAAGTAATATTACTAGTCTATATAATTTTAATCCTCAAAGTCACTACAGAGAAAGAATCCTTTTGTTTTGTGAGTAACTGAGGTTTGGAGAAGTCCGTGCTGGTTAGCTTCAGGTCTGGGAGAATCAGGTTTCTTACACAGGGCATGTCTTCAGAGCCTATCTGCTTCCCCCTACAGTCAATTGCCTGAATGGGTACACTGTCTTTAATTTCTTCTTTCAGTGGAAACCATGTACCAGAATCGTGGTGGAATCAAACGACCTCTTCTGCTATAAGACTCTCCTGGGACATGAGTTCTAGCCTTCCTGAGTGACAGAACCCTCTGGAAGTCTGTGAACCCCTTCTCAGGAAATGGCACGTGCTACTTTACTCGGATGTTAAATAACAAGATTCTAGGGATGAGTCTGGTGACAATGTGCTGAGCTGATAGCTTGAGATACTGTACTAAAACAGCTAAGATTTCTATTGATGAAAAAGCCACATGTATTGACCACTGTTGCTTATGACCTATTTACAGTTAAAGGAGAGGCTATATTTCAGTTAGAGTGTGGTGAAGAATAAAGACATATTTTTCATCATCGAAGTTCATGGACCCCATGAATTGTGTCCCTGGACATCAGGTTAAGAACCCCAGCTCCAGAAGTAACACGGGGGGAGTCAGCCCATGCAGAGGAGGGATGCTTTTAAAGGTCTATTTAGGTCTCTTGAAAACACACATTCCAGGAAACAGAATCCACTATACAAATTTCACAAGCACCCAAGAATTAAAATCCTAATTCTGGAATGCTCTGAAAGCTGACTGTGCATGACACAGACCGAAGCAGACTTCTGTGTGGAGACGGATCTATCAGGTCACTGTGCCGACAGGCTGCCAGTGACCAGGGAGAACAACTCCCCGTGCACAAGTGCTGAGATGGAAACAGACCGCTGCAAAGATTCCGAGTTTTTTCTCTATGAACACTCTGGGCGGTCAGCATATCATTAATCCCTAAAGTATTAAATTTTCGTTATTAAAGGAAGTCACCCAGGGCACTGAGAGACCCTTGACTTGAAAAATAAAAATCTTAGGAGCTAATACAACCCTTGACTTTCACACGGAGGACAGGAGAGCTCAATTAAAAAGGAGAGGTAATTTGCCTGAGTCCAACATGGAGCGGGGCTGATTTCACTGATCCCAGAAAAAGCATCACAAAATTATGGGATTTGAGCAAATCCTGATCTGAAACAGGAAAAGTCTGTGCTCCTGATCTGAAACAGGAAAAGTCTGTGCTCCTCTCTCACCAGCGTCTTAACTTAAATTCTGATTTCTCTCTGTATTGTAATCTGATGGACCATTAATCTGTCCAGTATGTTTCAGTCTGAATATTGAAATGGATATTTTGTTTAAGAGAGTCAATGTCAGAGCTCAGAAACTGATTTTCCCAACACAGTCTAATAAAGTGCGATCTTCCTATCTGACGGTTTTCAAATGAAAATTCTGTACATGCAGCTAAGAGTTCAAAAATCAAGGAAGACTAATGAAACTATTTTCCCTATGGAAAGGCAAAGAGTTTACAAGAGCAAGACTTCTTCTTCCTCTCTGTTTGTAATAACAAAAATAAACCGAAGTCCTAACATATTTGTAGTATTTTTATTCCTAAAGGAAAAAACAGGAACTTTCATTGTGCTTTAAAGTTATTACCCCAGATATTTTACCAGCTTTAGCACTGTGAAATCAGTTTCAGACATAAGAGACCCACTTCTCTCTCTAGGAAATACTCAATTAGGGTGGTGCCTCTGAAAATACCCAGGGGTCCTGTAGCGGATCTGTATTTCCCAGAGGGTTTCTGCAGCGTATAGCCCTGGCTGGACAGCACACACATGCTCGGATTTTTCCTGTTGCCTGGCTAGTGACCCCCCTACAGGAAGATAACAGGCAAGCCAGGAGGGCGGAGCAGCTCGAGACACATGTCTGCCCGCTCTTATCAACTTATCATATAAGGAAAGGAGAGTGATTGATGCAGACCCTGACACCACAGAACCTGAGGGAAGGGAAACAAAGAAGCATTAACCCTGATCTGTGAAGTGAAGACAGCCCTCGGGAGCGAGCAGGGCTACTCCTTCTACTGCGATCTGACAGTTCACCGGCAGAACGGGAGGGAAGACCGGCATCAGCAGGCACGTTCCTGCTGGAGAAGGAAGGAAGAGACAGCCACTGATGGACCGTAAGCCATGGCAGCGCAGCCCTGCCTCTGAGACTGCGGCTTAGGCGTGGGATTCCTATGTGCCTTCACGTCTGCTGAGCCGCTGGTTTACTCCCGAAAGAAAGAGAGGATGTGGCAGCTTGTTTTCTTTACTTTGAGCTGTGATCTTGTCCTGGCCGCAGCCTATAACAACTTTCGGAGAGGCATGGACAGCATCGGGAGAAGGCAGTATCAGGTTCAGCAGGGTTCTTGCAGCTACACTTTCCTCCTGCCAGAGACAGACAACTGTCGTTCTTCTAGCTCCTATGCGACCGGCGCTGTGCAGAGGGACTCGCCACTAGATTATGACGACTCCGTGCAGAGGCTGCAAGTGCTGGAGAACATCATGGAAAACAATACCCAGTGGCTAATGAAGGTAGGAAAAGAAATCATTCTTACTTGGTGAACAGTGGAAGCTCGTTAAGATCAGCTCAGTTTTCACGGCCAAAAAAAAAACCCCCCAAACAAAAACAACCCCCCCCAACAAAACAAAACAAAGCACCCAAAAAACTGATTAGCACAGGAGAGAGATGGTGACTAATGCCTTTGAATGAATTATCATTTCTTTTACTCTGTCCCAGGGTGTAAAGCAGTCGTGGGAGAAAAGTGAAAAGGATTATCTGAGAAGAATGCCAGAATCAATAGAGAAAAATCTGAGTTAGGAATCTTTATTTAATAAAGCGGAGGAAGTGTACTTCTCTGCAAAACGTGTAGGCTGTGTTGTTTGTGTAAGTGGTTTGAACTCAGTAACACCCATTACCAGGGATGTTGTAAACGGGCTGCAGGCAGGAGAGGGAAGCCCGGAGCGACTGCAGCCCGGGAGCCAGGAAAAACGTGACAATCATGTTAATTACTGATACATAACGGATGGAGTAAAGTGCTTTACCAATTTCCTGAATTTATTTACTAAAATAGACTGCAACTCTTGGTAAATGAGAGGAAATTAAATAAAGCAGACTTCAATGTTTCTCAGAATCCGAGGGCTCTACCCTGAAGGGCTTGTCATTTGGCAAACGGGGCAGGTATAAGCGCAGGCGTCGGGCGTTCGTCAGCACCCAGCCCCTTAGCGGCGGCAGCAGGCTGAGGGCCACCCCAGGTGCGACGGGTACGCAGGGCATTTTGCTGCAGCTATGCCATGACGAGATGGTCACAGTCTCACGGCTACAGTGCTACCCAGTTTCACAGACTTTTCAGAGAGGGTTTAACCACAACAGGATATTGTAAACTCACTTTTTTCTTTCCCAAGTGATCATTTTCCCATGTAAATGTCGGGGCCGTTTATACAAAACCCAGAGTCATCCTGAGACTTTCCTTGATATGGACCACATATATATACAGTCTAAAGGAGGTTTAAACAAGCTGTATAAAAAGGTTAATCTTTACATATTACGAAGACATTACGCCACAATGCTTAGACAGTAGAGAAGGTACTATTCTACTCAGAATGAGCTAATTCGCCTGGTTCAAGACCTTGCCCCAGAAAGAATTCTCAGTCTTTCATTTCACCATCAACTTTCTGTTAGGCTACTTTATCTTAATCTTAGAATAGATCTTGGCTCCAGATCTGTGTTTCTCATTAGCTGCCCTACCTTCAGAGAGGAAACGACCAAGCTATTACTTGAGTCTAAGCTGGAATGAATGAGTGCACTCAGCACTGAGTTCACTGCAGCCAGGGAGGCGCTTGAGTCCAGAGACAGAAAACAACAGACACTCATCAGGAAGGCCCGCTGTGCAATACACAACTCATTACTAACTGTCTTTGAAGGCACCAGCCCTTCTGGACTAATTCTCCTATAGGTTTCCCTCTTTTCCTAAGAAGGTTCCTATGGTAAAATGCTCTTTTAAAATCTTCAATAATTCACAGATGTGCATAACATAAGCTGTTCATTGACTCATGCACTTAAAAAACCAAGTACACAGCAGCACAGGTTCAAATGCTTGAAAGACAGACTATATCCTACATATCTTCTTGCTCTGACTTCCTATTTCTTCTTAAATTGTCATGCCCATGGTCAACAACCTTCTTACACCCACTGTGGTTATGCCAGGGCGAATAGCCGTCGTGAGAGATGAAAGATACACCATCCATAGTAAACATTCTAATCTGCCCGACTGGTAAATCATCTCTTAAAATAAACAGTCAAGAAGCATAAAAGAATGTTTTGCCAAATGCAAGATTGCTAAATTGCATTTGCTTAATGAAGCCCACAGTAAGTATACCTGGAAAACTCCATAGTCAAGGCTCATATTTCTTTCTTAGATAAACAACTCCCTTCCCTTAGACCTTTGAGACACTGTTTAAGGAAAGAAAAGGATAAGAAATTCTACATGAAGAGAACATTTTTTCCTTTCCAGGTTCAATTAGTAAATATTTGAACAGTGGCACAATGGCATTGTAGATTCTTTCCCTAGCTAGCTAGCTAAATATCACCGAGAAGGACTTAGTGTTTATCTTTTCATCAGCTCAGCACCTGCTCACCTGTCCTATCTCGGGGCTGTGCACCTGAAAACGACAGCATGTGCCCACTCTGTTCACAGGCTTCTGGTCTGGTCTGGGAATGAAAGCAAAGAAAGCAAATATGACACGTGTTTATAGTGGTTAAATGTAACCTCTCTGCTTGCTTTTTATTTCTGTGTTTTGTCACCTGTGATAATAATCACTGCTTTTCTCATAAGGGAGAAAATAATATACAATGGCATGACAGATAAAGCCACAGGATTAAAGGTTCAACATCACGGTCTGTAACACGTATTGCTAGATTATCCCAGAGAGAAAAAGCACAATCCTCTGTTTTTCATTGTTTCCCATGTTTCCTTTCCTCTAGGGCTATTTGTGGGTTTGTTTTTTTTAATGTTTTCATATTTCCTTTTTCTCCCTGATCAACACTAAAAAATAAAGGTGTATGTGTGTGTGTGGGGAGGGGGGGATGGGGAACCTTTAAGATTAAAAAAAAAAAAAACTTGTTAAGAATGAAAATAAGACCAAGTTTCTGGTTAATTTCAGGACAGATGACTAGCAGTTCATCTCCTGAGTGGTTCGCATTGCCTAAGGAGCTTGGACTAAGAAAGCTGTTTTGCACATTATCAAAAGATGCCACGCTGCCCCTTTAACCTTCCAGGCAAAGGAAGTGTGAGGCTTCTGAATGAGTGCAGAGTAATATGAATGAACAATACAGGGAGGGCTCACTTTCTGCTTAGTGGTTAAACCAGGATAAGATACAAGCATGATCGTTTACCAAATACAACACAATGACCTAAAAAAAAACATTGTGTATCATATTCCCTTGCTAATCCTGCAACTATTCTAAACCTCTGCCCCAGTGATATTAAACTCACTTTATAAAAACTGACAAATAACTTAGCAAAGTGGATTTTATCTTGCCTGGAGACCGAACGTATTTTTTTTTTTTTTTCCGATAAGAGGAAATAGGGAAAGGAAATAAACAATTATTTCACACTGATGAATACCTCGAATTTATAAACAACTGCAAAGTCTATTGTGCTTTAAAACAGAATGTTATGAAAAATAAAGCTAATGCCTATTAAATGGATGTAAACATTTCCTCTGTCATTTTTTTTTTTTTTTAAGTGAGAGAAGGACAGGCTGAACACTGTACCCATGAGCTGAGGTCCTTTTCTTTCTCTAAAACTAACATATCTTTTCAGTGGGTAATGAGAACTCTTGTTCTCAGGGGCTGCATGGGAAACAATGCACTTCTGCTCCTAAAAACAAAGTTGCTGTCAATGGGAAGAGCTGATGGTGATGAACTCAGGCTCACTCAGACCCCCAGCTTGCCCCCCGTCCCTGAGGCAAAGAGGGAGTGTGAGTGTGTCTTATCTGGTGACTGCAAAACACTCCTTAGCTGTGTATTCAAACAAACAAACAAACAAACAAACAAACAAACAAGCTGGGGCTTGCAGTGCGGGAGCGGTGACCGCTCCCAGGGCTGTATCTGGGGCACAGCAAATTGTGAAACAAGACCACGTTCAGTAGGAGCAGCAAAGTTTGTGCATCTAGAGAAGCTGAAGGGAGCCTCTATTAAAATTTTTTTTAATGTTTTATTTGTTTCTGAGAGAGAGAGAGAGAGAGAGAGACAGACGAGTGAGCAGGGGAGGGTCAGAGAGAGAGGGAGACACAAAATCCGAAACAGGCTCCAGGCTCTGAGCTGTCAGCACAGAGCCCGAAGTGGGGCTTGAACCTACGAACTGTAAGATCATGACCTGAGCCACAGTCGGATGCTTAACCAACTGAGCCACCCAGGCGCCCCAGGGAGCCTCTATTTAAGATGGCAGGAAATGGTCACTATTGTTATTTAATTATATATTAACATCATGATAGTAAGGGATGAAGAGATAAGTGAAGTTTCATTATGGTAGGGGAAGCACAATGTATTTAACTTTGGGAAATGCAGGCATAGTATAATGTTTATTATATATTATATAATATATAGTACAATTATGTGCTCACTTTGTATATTATATAAATATACTAAGTTTTTACTATATATATACTATATATATATTATTTGCTTTCCATGGTCAAGTAGTCTCTGCTTATTTTTTTAAAAAATATTTTTTAATGTTTATTTATTTTGGAGAGAGAGAGAGAGAGAGAGGGACAGAGCATGAGCAGGGGAGGGGCAGAGAGAGGGGGAAACAAAGAATTCGAAGCAGGCTCCAGGCTCTGAGCTGTCAGCACAGAGCCTGACGCAGGGCTTGAACTCAGGAACCACAAGATCATGACCTGAGCCGAAGTCGATGCTCAACCGACTAAGCCACGTAGGTGTCCCAAGGAGTCTCTGCTTATTAAACAGGGCTCTGACATGCTGCGTGAACTATGTGGGCGCCACTCTATGCAGAGAAGATTATTTGCCTGCAGAGTCTACAGGTGGGAAATGGACTTGTGTACATCACTTCTGTAATATCCTACCTCCTGTTCAGACACTAGATAATCCAGAAGGTCTCCTGGATTTGAAACCTAATTTGAAATACTAAAATTTGAAACCTAATTTATTTTAGTCAGCATAGCTCTTTATAGTTTACAAACAGATTGTGATTCAACAGTTTATCTATAAGTCAGTTACTGTGCAGGAAGTCATGACCTTATAAATGGTGCTCATATGCTCATGCTGGCCCAGAGTGCCAATTTTCATCTATTAACTGAACTTTTATATATTTATAATTGAAGGAGAAAACCAGTTTCAATCCACCCTATCACCATATGGATAATGTAAAAAAATATTATGAAAGTAATCTATGGGCAATGTAAAATAAACAGGTCAAACCATTAAAAAACAGGAAGTAAATTCTCCTTCTCCCTCATCTTCAGCCTTTTTTTCCAGATGAGAACCAAGAGATTTAAACCAGCCCTTTACT